GAGGGTGCCCTTGAGGATGTTTCTATTTTCCTCTTTAATAAATGTATATAAGGAGAGGTTGGTGCATATGCCTAGTGCCGGCTACTCGTTTCTCTTGCACAAAAGTCGAGATATGTGATGTCGCCTTTTGTGCAAGACAAGAGGAGTAGCCAGCGCCTTGAATTGGCACCAACCTCTCCTTATATACATTTATTTAAAAAAACATCCTTTAGGGGACCCTCCAACACTTTTGAAGCAGCTATTTTTTGTGATTCGTGTAGACTGATGGATGACGATACTTTTAGCTTAAGCTTAGGCACCAGTATCAAATGATTTAGTATTTCACTTACGCAATAAAGTCACATTGTCACTGCCAACCGTGTCAGCACATAGGGGCACTCACCAGAAGTACGGTGAAATTACGGCAGATGGGGAAAGCCTATGACAGGATAAAATGAAATGTAACATTTGAAGCGGTCGTGGTGTGGCATCAAAGCTGAGATAACTAATGTGCATCGCTTTTCTTTAATCTGCTTCTTCATTGAACTCCAAACAGACACTGCAACAAAAAAGATCACTGACTGCTATGCATGAGAGAGGCGCTGGCTATCATTTCGCCTCTGGATTTTTCGCCACATGTCCATACTAAAGGCTTGTCCCTCTTCTTGCTTCGGTGCATCTCTGAGCTACGTCTTTCCACATGTGAAGTAGGCTCTTGATTGTTGAAGAGATGCAAGCAATCCCCTTCATTGAATTGATGTCGCTGTACTCTTGCAGTTCATAACGCTGCTCTCCGGACAACCTACGAAAAGTCGACAGTACTCTACCGCCCTGGTCATTCCACAGATTCCCTTTTCAAAATTAGTGACATGGAATGTCGTTGTAAAGAACAGAAGAAAATACCTTACTTCTGCTCAGGTGCTGACAAGTCAGGCACCACGTTTGTTGCTTAGGCAATGATGTCTACAATACGTTGGAAAGGACAAACCACAATGGTGTGCGAGTTACTGCTGCGTAGGAACTTCTAACTCGTTTCAATGGAGGGAGCCCTCCAACATCACAAGGCTAGTCAGGGCAAGCGAAATGTAGTCAGGTGGTGACCCAGCAAAAATCAAGCTGAGGGTAGGCATTTCTTTTTTTGTATTTTGAATTATCTAAATCAAATAACTTTGGACTGTGTGCCGCTATCACTGCTGTTCCTGCTGCATTTATCTGTCTGTAGTTCAATCTATGCAACCTACAAGTAGCAAATGGGGTTTCAATGGTGTCGGAGGGAAGCACCTTAATATATTGACGCACATCCCTTAGTTTTATCCAAACAGAATCTGCCGATATGTCATTGGCTTCTAGGGAAACCAAAATACAAAAATATCGATAAATTACCCATTACGATCAGCGCACAAAAACTAGCCCAATTCGCTATTTACATCGGTAACTTAGTTGTACAATCACAGAATTTAACAGGAGCTACATTGTAAAATCATCCTGAACACTTTCTATACCGCCAAATTTTCTCAAAATGATGGGTTAACAGCATATGTAGGCAAACTCACGCATGAGCACTCACACAAGTTTACATTAAACTGAGAGTATGAGTAATGTTTTGGGAACATTGAGTCAGAGCAAGTGTAGTCGTGAAAACATTTTAGCGATTCTCGAGTTTAAGTGAGTCTGGTTCAGCAAATTTTCGGCGTGACTGTGTGAGCCTAAAGCATAAAATATATTTCTGCATTGAGTCTGAGTGAGCTCCCCATTTCTTGCCAGCCTATGGCCCTATCTACTCAACCTCAGGGTTACTGTCAGCTCACATTTATACTTGCGTCTACTTACCATACTTTAAGTAGTTGTGAGCAGCTGTGGGGGACCGCTCTGCACAGCTCTAATCCCATCTTTCAGGACAGAGTCTCACAGTGGGCTGAGGAGGTAGCAGAGTTATACGTCTGGTGGACCGATGCTACACCACATTAAGTCGTGATGGATCACTGCTGGCACTGGATCACAGACCCTCCCTCCCCTATGGCACCTACCCTGTCTTTAAAGGAAGTTAAAGCTATTCACTCACTTAACAGACAAGTGCTCATACGCCAGCTCAGAATTGATCAGAGGCACGAGTTAACAAGGATTGTCTTAACACCCCCAAGCACTTTTTTATAGGAAACTCTTGATGAAAACATTTCGCGAGTCGTGTCTTTCAATAAAAATGGTCTTATTGGCTTGCAAGCACTGAAAACTCATATTTGTACCACTTCAAAAGGCACCAGAGAGAGCCACGATTGTGCTAGATATTGTGTTCAACACCATGGTCGAAAAACTTATACCAAGGCGAGAGTCTAGAGTGAATTCAGCTCAGTTATATTTGGCAAGCTCAAGTCAGAGCGAGTTTGGCTGAGGAAAATTTTGGCGAGTTTGCCCTCGGGCGATATTTCCTAAGTGATTCTGAGCGAGCTACATTTAGTTTGCCAACATATGGCCGACAGTGCTTACAGTGAACTGCCGTAAAAAATTGTTGCCTTCCCATTGACTTCTTGGTATCATATTTGCTGTCTTTCTTTCAACTTCACAAGCTTTTCCTTTTGTCAATTACATAAGCGGTCATGAACCTCCCCTCAAGCTGTGAGAAAACGGATCCGCTAGATGCGTTTTCTCAGAACCAACCCTTACAAGTCCGCTCGTTCTAGATGGATCCAAGAAATTTTTATGGCAATTAATTCTGATAGCAAGACCCTTATGCGATTAGATGTAAAAGTGGTTCATGATCTGTTTAAGTCAGTAAACAGCTTTTGGGTGCTTCAACCGGTCACAGGGCTTGGCATGAAGACAGATCAAGCTCTGAAATGGCAGTGAAGCAGATAAAAGGCTATACCATACAAAGGCAGGAAAGGCTCTTTATTTGGTTGCTGATTACTTGTCATCATCAAAGTCCCCTCCACCGGGCTTCCCCTTCGGTCCTCCAGCTGGCTTGGCCATGATGATCTGATCCACATGAAGAACCGTGGAAGCAGCGTTGGTTGCGTACTGGAGGCTCCAGTGTTTCGTAATCAGAAGGTCGAGGAGGCCACTCTTCACAGCATCTCCGAGGCCTTCGTCCTTAAGGCAAGCGTTGGGATCACCCTGGTTGTGGGCCGCCTGGATCTGGGCAACAAGCTCTTCGGGTTTGGAAGCTCCAGAGTTTTGTGCCAGCGTCCTGATGAGAGACTCGAGCGCCTGGGCAAACTTGTGCGCTGCATACTGCTCAAGGCCGGGCAAGGTGTCTGCCCATGTGGCCAGGCGCCGGGCCAGCTCTGCCTCAACGGCACCTGCACCGGGTACCAGGCGACCGTCCTTGGTGGCAGCTTTGAAAGCATTCACGCCATCATCCACAGCACGCTCAGCGTCATCCAGCAGGCTATCAGTAGAGCCACGCAGCAGAACAGTGGCCACTCGAGTCTGGTGTCCCTCCTGGCGGAACACCACCACTGGCGTGTCACCCAGTTCATCCAGATAGACCGAGTCACACAGGCCGAGGTCTTCGGGGCGCGGGGCGGCCAGCTTGGGGAGGGCAGTGGCGCCAACGACGCGGCAGACGCGGCGCACGTCGAACTTGGACTGCAGCCTCACCGCCATCAGGCCGTACTTAGTTGAGGTAGTGGAGCGCCATGTCGCCCACCTTGCCACCACTGACCACCACCTTGACGCCAGCGTCGGCGATGGCCTTGATTTGCGCCTCGAGCATATTCTCTTCGGCCCGCGAGAAGCTCTTCAGCTCCTGCGCCGACTGAATCAGAACTGTGCCTTTTGTTTCTGTTTGCAGTGTGTCTACGGCGCACGTGTAGACGGCGACCTTAGCGTCACGCGCTTTGGTTACGTCTCCTTCGACCTGGCGCTTGAAGACCATACCGAGGACTACCTGAGACTGGTCGAGGCCTGAGCCGAAGTACCTTGCAGACTCGTACATTATCCACGTTGAGCGCACCGGATTCCGGCAGCACTGCTTGGCATGCTTCAGCCACCAGCTTTGTCAAAAATTCTGCGCCGGCCAAAGGCTTGCTTGACATGGCTGTGCGAACTGCCTTGAGAGCTTGATCCGGCTTGCGCATGTCCTGCACTTCATCCACTTTTAATTCAGGAAGCATATCAAGAGCCTTTTTCATGGCAAGCTGATAGCCTTCAGCCACTTGCACGGGTGTGAGACCACTTCGAACGAGCTCCTCAGCATTTTCCAATAACGCGCCGGCAAGCAAAACTACGGCGTTAGTGCCATCACCCACCTCCGCTTCTTGCATCTGAGACGCCATGACGAGAAGCTTGGCGGCGGGGTGTTGCACCTCGAGTTGGTTGAGAATTGTCGCAGCGTCGCTGGTCACAGATAGCTTCTCCAGGTGGTTAATTACCATTTTGTTCAGTCCATTTGGTCCGTAGGCCGACGCGAGGCTTCGAGAAAGTTCGACGCAGGCCTCGATGCTTCGAAAGAGGGCCTCATCTACGCCCTGGTAGTGTCGAGAACCTTCCTTCAGCATCTGCGAAAGAGCTGACGATCCAGCGCCACGGAACGACATGATCGTGGCTGAGCTTCGCACAAATGATTAAGAAAGGCGCGAACTCTCCTTCTGAGCACTGCTGAACAAAAACTCAGCGAGTGCGAACGCCAAATCACACTTTCAATGAAAAACCTCGTGCTCCGCCGGGTGGTGACAATGCGCCGGCCGCGGATAGATTCCCTTATTAGGCTCAGCGTGCCAGGGGCGCTGACGGCACTTCATACGCTGGCTTCGTACAACTTTTGGATTTGGATAGGATTATGTCAATAAATCAGCCACAATCAAAAGTTGGCGCTGCCATCGATTCCGAAACTGCCAAAACTGCGGCAATTGCTTGTTGAGAAAGTGAAATCTACTATGTGGGCAAAAAACAAAAACAAAAAAAATGTTTTATTGCTAGCTAGTAATTAATAATCTTGCCCAGCCAGCAGCCCATGACGACTACCCAAAGCAAATTACTTAAGTGTCTTGAGATGACTCGAGTTCATCTACCCACATTGGCTAGCGCCTGACGTGAATGAAACCATGAATGAAATGCGGGTGATGTTCTAAGCTCTCAAAGCGTAATGAATGTTGTTAGTTAGTGCGGTGCTGGTGAGCCTTCCGCTCCAGAATTCGCTCATTTGCATTTGAGGACTGTGTTCCGGGCAGGTTGCCTGACTAGCTAGCGACGGAAAGAGGTCAGGTGACTCGCAGGCCGGAGAATGAACCATTGAACGGATTGACATCTGGGATTTGAACGCGTCAGTCTATGCATTGCCGCCGTGCCTTAGATGTAGTAACATTCATCGTAGTGACCAGTGGACCGTAACCAATCTGTGCTTCCCATACTTCACGCCGACGCGAGTAAGTCACCGAATTTCTTGCTTTTGTATCGTTTCCTTTTGTTGTGTTAGGCGTTGGCGGCCGACGAAGTTGGGAAAAGTTGTCCAGCCTCGTGTTTCCGTTCCGATTGTTAGCGCTAGCTGCGCTGTAAAAAAGTGCTGGCTTTCCGATCACCACAAAAATCGAAGGCTGCGGGTCCAAGCACCTCGCAACTCGTACAAGCAGCAGTTCGTGGCTGTTTCTTGAAAACTTCACCGCTGTGTCATGTGTGCCGTGCATGACCTTGTATCCGATTCGTGGACGTCATAGTCGTTCGACTATAGAATGCCGGCTTGTGTGTTTCAAACGTCTAGATTTTAACGCTACTTTCTTTTTCCTCCTTCCAGTGGCCGAATTTCAAGCGAAAGACTTCGGGCTAAGCTTTCAGAAGAAAGTACTCGGCCGCGTAAGCAGCAAGAGTGTCGCCAAAGCTTTCATTGACGACACCTCAGCCAGTCTTTTGGATAACTTGTACAAACTCGTCAAGAGCGTCACAGGCAGCAAGAAAGACGCAGAAAAAGTTACCAAGAACATTATAAAAGTGAGTATACGTAAGCGCTGAGCTCAACTTTGTAGTTAGGTTTCCTGTTAGGCGACTTGATGAAAGTGTTTTGACACATTTACCTCGACCAATTAACCTTGGCATGTTTCGAACTATCTCATACTGGAAAGCCATTGCTTTGTTTTCGTGCAGTATGCACGCACATTCATTGTGTTTTGTTCGTTTATACGTTGGTGTGAAACATTTGCTTTGCCCGATTCCGTGCAGATAAAGTATCAACAGATAAGTCGTGTGGTGTAAGTAGCACCACGGTGGGAAGCACCTTTAGCACACTTCAAACATTTAATGTAATAAATTCTGCAACGTTGATGCATCTAATTGTAATATAGCATTGTGGTACACTTTGTGTAAACGAATTAATTTCTTTTTCTTTATGTTCCTGTCATCAGTAAGTGCCATCAAATTGTGCATTTGCATTTCAGATTGTTGTGAAGGTTGGCATCTTGCATCGGAACAACCAATTCTCAGCCGAAGAAATGAAGGTGGCCAAGCAGCTACAGCACAAGATGCGCGCTCTTGCCATGGCGGTGGTGAGCTTTTATGAGATGGAGTTTTCGTACGACCGAAGATACCTTGTGGGCGCCTTTGACGAGACTCGCGCCCTGCTTTCTGACCTTGTGCGATCCCACTTGACAGGCAAGTCACTGGGTCGGATTGACTACGTTTTCGGCTTCTTTGGGAAACCAGAGACTCTCGACTCCGTGTTTGCGAGTGACAGCGTTCACCGAGAGTGCCTTGGAAGGATTGTCAAGGACCTGCACGAAGCTTTGGATAAGGAGAGTCTCTGAGGGATAAGGTTGGCCTGGTTGTGGAAAAAAAATTCACGGGCACCTTGCATGCTGAAACATTACCTGGTGAAAACGGTTGTGCGTACTCGGCATGTTGTAAGTTATGCACCAAGAAATGTAGTCACTCTATGCAAAACTAGAGGAAAGTAAGCATTATAATGAGGCTAACTATGCTTGCTCACAAAGGATTTTATATTACCAAGATTCTGTGTGCACTTACAGGGTCAGGCAGGGTTTAGTCTGTGAAAGCACTTGGCTGCTAAGGAGCCAAAAGAATGTGTGTGCCTTGAACAAAAAGATCAGCATGTGTTGGTCCTCTTCTATTGCTTTCTTTTGCCTGGCGAGGTGCCTTCATGTTTACAGACTCCTGTGCGTCTATCTACACAGTGTTCAAAGTGGGCTTCAGCGATTGAAACTTGGCTTGCAGTGCTGAACTTTTCTGGTGGTTTCAGATCTTATATGCATGCTTATTGCTTTAACGGTGTCTGTGTGCAAGATGGTGATGTGCTTAAACACAGCGAGGCTGAACAAGTGTTGGTCTGGTCATGGATACTAGGCTGTCAAAGGAAGGTACGACCCTGCCAGAGATCTGTAACTGGTCAGTGAAGACTCAGCATTGCTAACGGCCAACGATTGTGCGAAAAAAATGGCCTTCTGCTTGTCAGTCATTTAGAGGGAAGCTAGAGCCAGACAACCTTTGTGACAATTCTCATTGCCTTTGTGACTTGAGTTGCACAAATGCCTGCTAGTGCATGATTCAGTCACCAGTGCAAAGGATACAAGATGAGCCCAACAGAGATAGAAAGATTGTTCAAAAATATCACACTATGCCCAATTTTTGTAGCCGCAGTGAGGGTTGATCTATTTGCATTTAGACACAAACGTTACTCAGCAGAACCGAACCAGAACTGGTTATAAAGAATTTAAAGCACTCTAAGACTTCCGGTTGTATTTTCCAAGGTTTAGAAAGTCCTGAATCTTTGTTTAAAAAGAAAAAAGTTTAGTAAAAATACCTCGGTACATTTAAACTTAAGCTCCTCGTAGGACCATGGGGAGCTCTTGGCCAAGTGAGGTGCAAATATGTGAAGGTGCCATTTCTGTACATGCTGCTCATCTGATAGTCAAGACAGTGTTATTACAATGGTTAAGTTCAAATGAATTTTCATTGCCATGCATTTATTGAAAGGACCAAACTGGCTAGTTGGAAGCACTTGGAGAAGTCTTCCAGTGAGTGCAACTTAATGTAATGCTTAATGAACATACAGTAAGGCCAAACCATGCTATTGCCTTTGACGTGATGCGCTATTTCTACAGCTTTGTTAATGGTGGTGTGTGGCCTTATGCTATGAAACTTTAAACATGTGCACGAATTTGTGTGAGCAATTTTTACTCCTACTTACTCTTTCGTACATTGTTATTACTTCATGCTGCTGTATTTCCTCACAGCCTTTTGTTTATGAATACAGCTGCTCAAGTCACTGTTGCAGTTTAAAAAACAATTTTTTTTTGAGATGCCATGGTATACACAGCTGCCTTTCTTTTTATGGCGAATGCTTTGATCTTGCTCCACTACTTGTGAGCTGATTCGTAGCAACATTCCATTGTCTCTTACATGGATTTATGTTATTCGTGCATGTGTACACTGTGTCTCTGGTTTGGAATGTGTTGAAAATTCCTCATAAGAACAAATTTATTTACTGTGAATGCTGTTACTCGTGGCGGAAGCCAATATTGCCTGGGTACTTGTCTACCGAAGTGATCTCTTGGTTACTTATTGCACAGGCTAGTTATCCACTCAGCCTGTCCATGCCAACATAATTTCAATGTGTGTCAGTGTAGTTGCATTTCAACAGTGTCACGGTTGCTAGTTGCTCAGTGAAAACTCTCACAATGTCAGGCACATTTGAAGCAGAATGTGCCATTTAAGGGAGCAAAAAAAAAAACTGTGCTTGCTCAAGAACCAATGATCCATGGAGCTACGTAACAATGAAAACTCATGCTGTACTGGTGTGAATGGTCTCTTGAGAATCTACCAGTTTTTCCTCATTTCTCGAAGGCAGCCATCAAAGAATTACTAGCTCAATTAACTTCCAAAGAGCATTGGATATTAAAAATAAGTTAATACTATATTTTTTTAATGCATGTTTATCGGTGTTCTGACTACACATCCTTTTTTTCTCCAGCACTGCCTACTCACCACCTTTCAGTTTTTTTGTTTTTTTTTTTCCCAGTCTGAACCTTTTACCTTTGTTCTTTCTGTTTACACCTTTATTATATTGTTATTGACAAGTCTGCTTAAGACTTTATTCTAGTCTAAAGCGCATTTTTACAGGTTTACCACTGGAACTAAATGTTATACTCATAATAATGCCTTTTTCTTTAAATGTCTTTTTTTCATGTTGTGCATGTTGCTGGCACTTTATTCATTATAACACTTGTTTAAGTACTCTGGAAGAAGCAGTCATTCAGTAGTGTGTCATGGGAAATGTGTGCAGCAATATATATTTCTAACATACAAGACCTTTAGTGACACATTCAGATAGCCAGGAAGTGCCATAAACTACTGTAAGTGTTTTGTCTTCATAGAATCTATGCAATAGTGAATTGTGTTTTCTTTGCTCCTATATGTTCTCTTCACCCATGAGACAAGTTGCATATTTTTTCAAAAGGTGTGGCACCTACTTCGAAACGCAAGTAGGTGTGATCAAAGAGAAGCATGGGTGTGTATACTTGTCTGACATTTTCACATCTTGCATACAGTGAAATGCTCCAATGTCAAAAGGTGCCTTTCATCTCCATAAACAGGTTGGTTTTAAACACATTCCAAAGTTTTTTTTCTCCTAATTCAATCTTTACATATCAAAATTGTGCTCAGTGATCGTGAAGACATATGATAGATCAAGCTAAAGTGCTGTATTAGTTCTCTGACATTACCAAAGCATCATTTCTATCCATAAATAGAGCTTTTGTGGCAACATAGAGAGATGACATATCAAACAGCTACTCCAGTGCCTTTCAGAAACTGGTCTGCTAGACCTAATATTTGCCTTCAGTGCCTCTTTAAGGTGCATTGAATCTGAACTCGTGTTGTTTATAAGAAACGGGCTGTATGTTCAGACACATGCTCTATTATATCTGCACCTTTAGCATAAAGACTTTACCTGTCGTCCTACGAAAGCTGTATTATTTATCACCTATGCTACTAAGTTGCTGTGAAATGGATCAACTTACAAGCTATAAGATGAAAATGACAATCCTGGTTGCCTATGAACTTAAATGTGCACTATGTTGCCAACTTTTAAACCTGTTCATGACGAGATCTCTTCCTGACTTTTACATGCATCTTCTCAAGCCCAGTTTCAAAGGCTCATTTTCTTTTCGTATATTAGTAACAGAGAATAAATAATTTTGAAACCTTGGCATTTGTCTCTTCATTTCTCGAGCATCCTTAGCAAAGAAAAAAAGTATTCACCTTTGTTGGGCTAACGAAAATAATGAATAAAACAGTGAAAATGGTGGGGGGGGGGGGGAAGGACACATTCGAAATCTACCGAAGAAATGAGGAAGGTGCTTTCTCTAGTAAAGGCACTTTCTTGGGATTTTATGATTTATGAAATAAATTGGCAGTGGCAGTGCTTCTTAATTTAATATTGTGCCTTGAGATATGTTTAAGTAGACCATTAATTTTCACAAGTAGGTGACTGAAGTCTAAGCATGACCGCGATGCATTGTTGGTAAGTCGCTCTTGAAACAGCATCAACATATTGCTGATAAAAGGCATACACTACTTGCAATATGCTGTGCCTGCTTTTTTTTTTTTTTTTTAAGAGAATGCAATCTTCAGAACATAGCTTTCAAGGAAAGTTAAAATAGGGAAACTGGAAATCGTAAGCTACGATCCAGTCTTCCATTCGTAATTGCCAAATTCCTTCATCGTTATTCTTTTCGTATTTTTATATTTTTCAAAAACTAAATTTCAACCTTTAATTTTGAAACATGGCTGGCATAGTTCGAAACATTACTCTTTCAAGTCTCCAAAGCTTTAAACAAGGCCACTTTCTGAGTTTTAGTGCTAGCTTCCCTTATTTTTCAAACGGTCTTTTATCTTGGCCTTCTCAAACATTGCCTTCTAACAGTAACTTTGGACATTCAAGAGAACATCAGCAGCAAGTTTGCTGTGCTAGCTTCTCGGTGATGCAAGGCAGACTATTGAGCCCTTAGGAAACCCTCTAATGTTTGAAAACTGATTCCTCGATGGGGCTGGTGAAAGCCTAAGGGCTTTTCCAAACTACAAACCTATAGCCCTCCAAACACTAATTTACCAAACTACTCATATTATTAAAATTCTGGAGTCTGTCCAGAGCCAAGCAGCTAGATTCATTGCTTCAGATTACTCCCGTTGCTCCAGCATCTCCACCCTGAAAAACCACTTAAAACTTTGTCATGACATTACAGGTCTCTGTCGTTTCCACAAATTCTTTCATTCAGCCACACGCGGCAAACCAGTCCATCAAGGTCATCGCACAAGTCATCCAAATGCTGTGATTCCGCCACGTGCTCGCTCCACATAATTTCAGCAGCCATTCTTCTTGCGCACCGCCTGAGACTGCAATGGCATTCCAGAAGAGGCAGCAGTCATACATGATTCCACGTGCTTCGAGAATGCCATCTAAAAAGCAGACTCGGCTGCATCCTAAACATTACTTTTGATACCCTTTTTTATGTTGCCCACCCTTCATGTAAAGTTCCCCACGAAACCTTTGAGGACATAATAAATCAATAAAAAAAGAGAAAATGCTACAATCATTTTGCACATCCTAACAGGACAACCGCACACAGGTAAATTGAGAGAAGCTGGTAAGCTGTCTAACAAGTAGGACTATAGTGATGTTTGGCAGAGCAACTTGTCCCTATGTTTCCATCTATGACCACTGGTATGCATTCCAGCATTCCAAAGAGAACTGTTACAAAGACACTGTTTCCTTGTTGAAATGACTTTATCGTAACTGCTATCCATTAAAACTGCACAACTTTTTCAAGGTAGCAATATAAGTGAAAAAGATGGTTAGTAAAACTTAATTGAGATATAAAAGCCCAAATTTTTTTCCAAGACACAGAGCCCTGTCATTTTATTATATAATAGAAAAATATGGAGATCCTAGTTTAAACTACCAATTCCAGGAATATAACAAGGGGTCCACACAACTGCCACTAAAGCGAACCTCTTCACTCCGTCTGCTCTGAACATCCTCTTGCATCGTCAGCTCCAGCCTTCTTCCTCTGCAACCTTTTCGAACTTGTCGCTGAAAGTTGCAACACAGAAACACTTGCACAAAATGGTGACGACATAGAATGAAAAATCTTGCAGCCCAGCCCACAACATTAATGGAGCGAAGCAGCATTGAGTCTCATTTAAGATTAGGGAAAGTGTACTGTGGTGTATCATGTACAAAGCAGACAATGCATTTCACGTGGTGACTTTTCGGACAATGGTAAACTCGGCATAGTTGTATATGTAGCCGCCAATACATCTGCTACAAGCTGCTATAAAAGGCGAATTTTGCTTCACGCTACTTTAAAGACATCACTTAGGTTATCACTTTGCCGCTAATGGCCAAGTCTAAAGAAGCCGGGTGGATCATCCAGAGCCTACGGCAAATTCACTGAGCCTGTCGTTCTTCGGAACAATGTAGCTTGAATACAAGCAACAGCAACGACCAGATACAGAGACTTCGGTAGGGAAACCAACAAAATAGAAACAAAACTACAAACATAATGACGCACACTCGCTTTCACACCTCTAAAAATGAAAAATTAGACAGTCTCGACAATAAAACTGAAATTAATAAGATATAACCAGAGAGCTAAAGTTTTCTTACAGTAAGCAAATGCTCAATGCGTATTTAAATATTTGGAACATGCATTGACAAACAGATAAAATTTGCTCACTTCTTTTTTTCACAAAATGTCTGTGCCTGTATAACGTAAAGCCATCAGAAGTTATTCTGCTTTTGTTTTAGCACTTGCAGCTGCCATAAACTTGGCTTTTTTTTTCCTGCGTGGCATCCTGACACAGCTGGCTTTCAAAAAAGTGCAATCAGGTTTACCATTCCAAAGGGCCCGCAGGAGTTCATGATGTCAAACTTTTTTAATTTATCGTGTACAATGCCAGGTGCGGTAAGACACAATTGAATGTTTTGAGCACTTACGAAAAATGCACAATAATTAAGAGAACAATCGTATGCATTCCAATGCAATGAGGCCATCCTTTCATGCTATTCTCGCTTTCAGACGTTTCTCTATTACAAAATGTATCCAAAGGTCACCTCCATTAAAATATTTTATGAAGCCAACCAACTGTATAAATGGCAATGCCATTGAGTCAGTGTTTGCCTACTAGAATTTTACTGTACATGCCATGGAGAATACAGCCTTACGCCTGAAGTCTCACTCAGTGGCCATGCTTGTTTCTGAACATTGTTACAAGCGGCATACAGTGCTACAGTGACCAACCAGTTAAATTTCAAAAGCGATGCGTCAATCATGTATACAAAAGCAAAACAGTACCTAATAAGAGCTACATGATAAGATAGCCAATTGACGGTATAACCGTAACAGGATTAATACATAGTGGTACTTATATTGGGCACGGCGGCTCTGCCAGTATGGCGTCTAATCCGTTCGTCTTCCTACTGCAGATGTTCGTGGGACCGGCGCTTCTCGGCACCGCTAGAAGCGCCGAACTACATGGATTGCCCTGGACTGCACTAGACCATGACGTCACCAGCTGCCACGCGCTTCCAAATGCGACCTGCCACATGGATAATCTACAGTATCTGCCACTGCATCACCGGACCTCAACGTGCGCCGACTACTTGGCGCATCACTTCATACCAGCGCCACCACCCACCAAGCTTATAAATTGCCTACCCGCCAGCACCGCAGCTGTTGGGCACGGCGGCTCTGCCAGTATGGCGTCTAATCCGTTCGTCTTCCTACTCCAGATGTTCGTGGGACCGGCGCTTCTCGGCACCGCTAGAAGCGCCGAACTACAGGATTGCCCTGGACTGCACTAGACCATGACGTCACCAGCTGCCACGCGCTTCCAAATGCGACCTGCCACATGGATAATCTACAGTATCTGCCACTGCATCACCGGACCTCAACGTGCGCCGACTACTTGGCGCATCACTTCATACCAGCGCCACCGCCCACCAAGCTTATAAATTGCCTACCCGCCAGCACCGCAGCTATTGGGCACGGCGGCTCTGCCAGTATGGCGTCTAATCCGTTCGTCTTCCTACTGCAGGTAAGAAAAAATTACGGAAAATGCTATCGTTCAAGTGACCCGTTTTTGGTAGTGCTACCGTGCCCATGGCTGTGTTGTTGTATCTATGAAACTGCAGTGTCTGTGCGAAAATTGCTCAAGCTAGCCGGGGATATCGAACCAAACCCAGGCCCGGATTTAGCTGCCATTGCAAAGCAACTGCAAGCAATAGCGGCCAACATCAGAGACATTAAGGAAGAGCGGCTAGCTAACATTGACAAGAAATTAGATGGCCTGGCAATACTAGAAGTTAAAATAGAATCTTGCCAAACTCAGATTGATTCTATGAGTCGAGCCATTGAAGTTCTGGAAAAGAAAATGGATGACTTGGACAACCGTAGCCAGCGCAATAACTTGATTGTTTACGATCTCTCAGAGGTTGACGGAGAAACAAGCGATACGTTAGCGGACACCGTGAACACGACTATAATCAATGAGATACTCGAGTTAGATAAGGTTGCCATAGAACGGATACGCCGGTTAGGTAAACCTGCACCCAAAAAAACACGGCCAGTAATTTTTAGGCTGTTGGACTGGAGAGAGAAAACAGAAATTCTAAAAAGAGGATTCAAACTGAAAGGTACTTCGTTTGCTATCGGCGAAGACTTCTCGCCGAAAGTACGAGAAGTAAGAAAGAAGCTTTGGGATAGTGTGCGAAGCCAAACCGTGAAAACAAAGAAAAGGTTACCCTTTCATTTGACAAATTGTACATTGACAAGCGTGCATTCATTTGGAGCGATGAAATGAGCGACAAGATACCGATGAAAAAAAACGACCAAAATGCAAGCAAAGGTCCAATGAAAGAAACCAAGCAAAAAGAAATCCCGAGCAAGCCGACGACTCGAAGCAACGCGCTGTTAAAGAGCTAACCTTGCTGAACATAAATGCCCGGAGTATACTAAACAAGATGGAACAACTCGAGCATATCTTACTTGATTATGATCCTGACCTTGTGGCTATAACGGAGACATGGCTTTCCCCAGACGTATCCAGCCATGAAATTGCTCCCCCAAACTACTCAGTTATCAGGAAAGATAGGCCAACTCGAGGCGGAGGGGTAGCTTTATTAATTAAAAAATGTATCCCTTTCACATGTTTGCCCGAGGTAGCAAGTGCGGAGGCTGTTTTTTGTAAGATGGCTTGCGACAACCCGAGTACAATCACTGGATGCGTCTATCGTAGCCCGTCCTCCGGTGAAGACGGTATATCTTTCATCCAAGAATTTCTTTCGCAGCATGCACGCAGCAATCGTGTGATTATTATGGGTGACTTCAACCTCGCTGATTTTGACTGGGCTACTATGCACCACACGTCTCTGTCATCGAAAGCACTGGTTAATTTAATGCTTGATTTTAACCTTCATCAGGTAGTAGCCGATGCAACACGCATACAAGTAACCACTGAAAATATTCTCGACCTCGTCCTTCTGAGCGACCATTTTCCAAACGAGCAAATCGAGATAAGCGTTGCTGACGGGATATCTGACCACAAGATGCCTGTTTGTCGGTTGGTACTTGATTGTAAATTCACAGTTCGCCCTACTGCAGTAACCATTATCAATTATCAGAAAGCCAACAATGACAGTATTCAAACGTATCTCGCGCATGAATTCCAACCTTCTTTTGAAACTGCCTCAGACATGTCCGCAAATGTAAATTTATTGTGGCTCCAGTTTAAGGTCATTGTTCTTCACTGCATCAATACCTTTATACCTGTGAAACACAAAAAAACCAACCTAAAAAACCCATGGATAAATCGAGAAGTTATCCAAGCGAAACGTCAAGTAAAAAGGTTACGGCGGCCAGCAAGGATCAACCCCGCCAACTCACCAGGTAACGAGAAGTTATTAAATGCAGTCATGAGACTGAAAACAAAGACGCACCAAGCCAAACAGCATTACTTCAACGTAACCCTTCCAAACTTTATCACAAATAGCCCGCAGAAATTGTGGAGGCATTTTCGTAAAAGTCCTGAAGCGTCGTCTACACTAACAGCAGAAGAGAAGGTAGCGAAGTCGAATGCGCATAATGATTTCTTCCGCTCGGTATTCACGACAGATAATGGCATTTCACCTTATTTGGAACAGCGCAATACTGACAAAATTGATGAAATTAACATCACAGACGCTGGAATTATGCAACTATTGCTTAACTTGGACCCGAAAAAATCCACCGGCCCGGATGACATACCGAATGAATTCCTAAAAAGATATGCAGAATGGTGTAGCAAGTACCTCGGCCTAATTTTTCGCAAGTCGCTTTCAACATCTACCCTTCCGGAAGACTGGAAAATAGCAAAAATAGTACCAATTCACAAATCAGGAGACAAAAATGACGTTTCAAATTTCAGGCCTATTTCACTAACAAGCACGTCATGCAACTTACTTGAGCACATAATCCTGAAGCATCTAACTGTTTACTTAGAAAAAGTGAACTTTTTATCACCTCATCAGCACGGCTTCCGCAGCGGCCTATCAACTATTACACAGCTAGCAGAAGTAGTTCACGACCTCGCACTATCAATAAACAACCAAGCGCAAACAGACATCATTCTGTTGGATTTTTCCAAGGCGTTTGATTGTGTAGGCCATACTAAATTAATTGGGAAATTGGAAAACGTGATTGGCAAAGGCGCAATATCGACATGGGTAAAAGACTTCCTCTCGAACAGGTCCCAGTTTGTTGTCTTCGAAAACACACCATCTGAGACTGTACCTGTGACATCCGGGGTTCCGCAGGGGTCAGTCCTGGGACCGTTATTATTCTTAATTTTTATTAACGACATAACTTCCAATATCGAGTGTAACATCAAGTTATTTGCAGATGACTGCATTATTTACAAGAAAATTAATAGCTATACGGACCACCTAATGCTTAACACGTCGCTTAGTGAAATAACGAAATGGTGTTCTGACTGGTAAATGACAATAAACATTAAAAAATCCCTTACTATGACTTTCAACAAAAAAACAGCCTTCTATGTTTACATACTTCATTAATGACATACCCTTAAGTAAGGTTTCGCAACACAAATATTTAGGAATTACGCTTACTTCCGATCTTAGATGGGATTCACACATCACAAATATTACCGCCGCCGCGTTGCGCAAACTGTTCTACCTAAAACGGTGCCTAAAGACGTCCCCCACTCCTTCCAAGCTGTTAGCTTATAGAACGTTCGTAAGACCGCTTCTGGAATATGCAAGCACGATATGGTTTCCGCACTCGACTACCCTCACGAAAAAGATTGAAAGTGTCCAACGAAAGGCTATAAGGTTCATCTACAATAAATATAAACGGACTGACTCTCCCACTAACCTCTTGGCTGATTCAGGAATAAAAAGTTTGCCAGTTAGAGCGAGGCACGCTCGCCTAAAATTCTTGTTCCAGCTAATTCATAACAGTTACAAGATTGATACGCATAAATACATATCTTTTTCTCAGACCTTACTTGTACTTGTTTCTTTGGTTTATTTCTTCTTCTTGTTACTACAGCTTGTAATATTGGCGTGTTTATGCGTAAAGTTGTGCAATTATTCTGTCTTTGTGTGCATATGTTCTTTTTTGTTCTTCCTCATGAATCAAGCCTGAAGATTCACATGTTTCTTGTACACACATTTTGTATGCCCTCCTGCTATGCTCTCGGATGAGAGTGGCAGTATTGTAAATAAATAAATAAATATGCACCCCGAGTAATAACACTGCTCACATGCTGCAATAAAACTTCCTTTAGAAATCAACTAATTTTCTAGCGTACATTTCGCCTGGGTTATGCACTCTCACCTCGATATAACCATTCCGGATATAACAAAATACTCATTATAATGAAGTAAATGAAAAATAGTCTCGCAATTGATACAGCGTTAGGGATTTCATAACAAATTTCTGTGTAATATGCACGTTTGTTGTAATGAGGTTTGACTGTAGTTTTATGCAATATCTTTCATATTTTACTTCATCCGTGCTTTCTCTGTCTCAATTTCAGTCCTAAAAACAGTAGTGTTTCTTAGGTTAATCCAAAAAGTACTTCTGAAATTGAAGCTTCCTTCCTATAGAATACTTCCGATTAACATTAGTAGTTGCTACTTGAACCATAGCAGCTGACTTTGCAAATAAAGAAGTCACAGTTTCGCCGCAAGGGGAAGCAATGAATGTGTTAGCAACAACTTGCAATGTAACCCTGGGAACAGCAAGCAGATCGAAATGTGCAGTTTTCGTGCGTCATGCACAAATGACGCACGAAAACAACACACACAGAACGAGAGCGAACTAACGACGTTTACCACTTGACACTTAACAAGTTGTTCAAACAAACACGACACACGAAACGTAATCAAAGGTGTAAACAAGTTTAAACTAACAGGTGTTCCAGTTGGTTGTTTTTTCACTGTCTATGAAAAGTGCGCTCTTTTCGAAACGGGCCCTGCGCAGCGATCAAAGTGACCTTTGTGGGCCTGGCAACTAACGCAATCATTCCAGTGAAAGCCATTGCAGTAAACGGGATAAAAAGGTCATTCATGAAAGCCCAAGGCACACGATTCTTCCCACCGAAGGATAAGTGCGCGCACATAAGCATCCACCCCCATCCCCATTTGCGGGGCGAAGTACGCGTGGGAGATAAGCGCGTGCGACGAGCTGGGTGCCGAACGTCGGCAGCTTTTTTCTTTCTTGAGTTTTCATATGTATACAGATACGTATACATATACGGTGCATGAAGCCGACGCCGACGACAAAATCCAGCCGAGAGTGTCCATATAATTGCTATTGCAATAAAACTGGGGGGACCATATTTGCAGTTCCTTTTTATACACTTTTGTGGGAGAGCGCATGCTCTCTTTCAACCAAACTCACTCGGACTTAATCTCACCAATATACGTTACTCACATGAAATCACCCAGACTCACCGCTGGATCCGAGTCAGAGTGAGTCGACACATGAGTGAATTCGCCGACCTAAGATTACGTAGGAGTATAGATGAACATGGAACAATGACCAGAAGGACCTGCGGGCCACCAATAATTGATGAAAGGGCCCTTCGTTTTACATATCGTAGACTATTCCTCTAATTATAGTATTCACTTATTGCATGCAGAGCAATAAGTCGATCTCTGTTGACTTGGTCCGTTGCCTTATTTGCCCAAACCCATCATAGCTGCGATTACTCGCTCTACAAGAAAGGAATGCTGACACTTGTGTGAAACAACTGCGTGCAGCTGGAAGCGGAGCTAGGCATTAATGCTAGCCCCCATTTCATTCGCTTTGCTTCACCTCTCAAAGGACACCTCAACCATGCAAGAAAAGGAATGCCCGCTTGCAGGGTCTTTGCCATTGTAGACTCTCCTAGGGCACCTACTTCAAGCACAGTAGGAAAGTACCCCCTACACCATAATTGACCATTTTGCTAAGTACTAAAGTACCAACGATGAGTTTGTGAGACAATACGTGTACCTATGAGCTGCGTACCTTGCTAATGACGTGGCCGACAATAATGATGACGAAATATGAATCATCCCTTTGTGGGCAGCTCTGAGCTAATCACTCATCACATAATTCTCATGGTGTGACTCAGAGCTTTCCGACACGATATTGCATCTGTTCACCTACATCACGCCTGAATCGGACCAATTTCCAAAGCAGTTTCAAGCACTGGCATGGCTATTTTGTAGTAGAACACTCGACTGCCATGCATGCAGAATGCCTGGGTTCGGTTCCGGATCCATCGTTGATTTTTATTCTTTACATTCATTGGGGTCTTTTTGCTCACACACAACACCACTGATGGCGATATTCCATTTTTCTGTTATACAGGCTCGCTTATGCATTGACTTCGTCAAACTAGCCTGCTACTTTGCTGCACTTGAAATAAAGAGAAAAAAAAATAAGATTCAATACCTGTGACACGGCAGACTTCACAATCCACACCCATTGCTAAGAGCTCACGCAACCAGACAACTTGCTTTGGTGAGAGCGTGTCGCCAGGTCCTTTCACTTCTGCTGCCTTTACATGTGACAGATAGAAATCGCAGCAGTTACATTCCAACACAGAATGGGAGACCGATTACAAAAATAATCATCATCACTTTAAGGTGCAATGGTTTACCACTGGTGAATTGTGAATGACCTGTACCTTTTGCCCCAAACTGTAATACATGTGAAAAGTGAAAAAAGATCAGTCAGCATCAAAATAGCATGACAACGACTTACAAGTGCCTACAAGTAACCTGGAAAGATTAGGCTTGTGCAAATTGTAAATTTTAGCTTTAAAGTGAATAGTGATTTGGTCAAATAATTTCAACTCAGATTCGAATAGTACATATCACACGTTATAAAGAAAGATGAGCATATTTGTTATGACCCAACCAACCTGCACCAATTTTTCTTTTTACTGAAACAAGGTATGTGCAACTGTCATTCTTTTTGGTTCAAAGAAAAGTGGAAGCAACTTTGAACAGGAAAAGGACTTAATTTTCAGTAGAAAGCAGGTGGTAACCTGTGGTATACACTATGTTTAAAATTTCCAATACTTAAAGCATATAAGCTGGTATAACACTCTTATGATGGATCAATAGAGAGTAATATGTTCGTTTAACATTGAAGTGGGGCTTCAAAACAGTGCAAATTTTACCTGAACAGGTACAGTCATGGCATAGCACCCTTCTAATGCAGTGGAACCAGCTTTGCAGAGGGGTTGCATGCAGAATAATGTAATGTATACTCATTCGTTCATTTTGAATACTTCGAAATTTACAATCATTCATATTAGAATTGAAGTGAATTCGAATACTGTAATATTCATTTGAATATTCAAAGCAATCTAATATTTGCACAAGCCTAGAAAAAGATGTATAATGAGTCAAGCATTGTCATTCGTTGGAGGCATGAATGCCACGACACTTTTTATTTTATGAGGCCATTGCATCGTTTCACTAAACTTCTCAGATAAAACAGGCACTAACTACACTTACGTCCATATGTTTAGAAAAGTATAAGTTTAGGCCGATTGGTTATGCATACTTCGTGAATTGAAGTGCAATAAACAGGACGGAAAGGTGATACAGAGGGGACAAGTCTTTGACACTAAAAATTTCTACGATTTCAACATCAGAGAGCAAGCTCTACGATCTCAAGGAGGATGTGGTGGGTTACCACGTTGACAGTTAGCTGTACGGTCGCATGTATGACCTTCCTATCTCGTTTACTGCACCTCATTTTACCAAGTACGCCTACACCTGATCACAGGAGTGCCAGACGCTGAAATTTTGTTTCAGGAAGTAAGGCTAGAAGTTACCTTGGCTTTTTCCCGTTTCTGGGTTCCAAACAAGTAAGTCGGGCAAGCCACTTCGGCGATGTCGAAACTGACGAGCCAAGAGCTCACAGATTCTTGAAAGCACATGTGAGCCCATGCAACGCACGATTTCCTGCACAAAATGCTGACCCTTGAGTACTGCTTTGAAATCCATCACATTAGTGTTCAAACATTGACATTTTTCAGTCAAATAAAAGCAATATCGTTGGGAAAATAAACTACCTTCAGAGGCTTAATCGATTACCATATACATGAAAATATGCAATGAGCCATCTGTACAGTATTTGCCAGCTTCTTGAAACTGCATGCATGCCACCACGATGTCAGCATTGAAAAAGAAAATGTTGGTCGGCCCCCAATGCGTGACGATAGCTGTGGAGGTTTTACGTCCTACAACCACGAGATAATTATGAGAGATGAAGTGGTGGAGGCTCTGGAAACATGGACCACCCGGGGCTTAATGTGCACTGAAATCTATCTAAACGGTCCTCTAGCGTTCTGTCTCCATCGTAATGTAACTACTGCGGCAGGGGACACATGACGACAAAAAACAATAAGACAGAAAGTGAGTGGCAATGATTTCTGGAAATACATCTCCTCACATAAATCAGAGAAAGAAAACTAAATATTGAAAGGACTAGCTTGGTAATCACACTGGAATGCTCTGAACTGGTTGCCGGGGCATAAGAGTGTGATCGTGTACTGGACTTACAAGTAAACCAACCTGAGAACAAAATGGGCCTTCCAAATATAGACAGGATGCCATTGACTGCATATCTAAGCATGCCAGCACATAAGGCTTGGGAAGAAAAATCTCACCTGAACGTCTGTGCATGTGAATCGGTCCCACTGCACTAAGCCAGCCTTTCCCAAGTGGGCGGTGTAGGCAACTGCCACTTTCTCTTCCAGTTCCTGCAACATTAACAAGAACGCAAAAGTGGTCAGCTTTCCTTCAAACTAAGTCGATCTTTTTGTTGGTCGATATGAACTCTGTTGTATTCTAAAAGAGCTATAACTCTCGAAGATTTGCCAATATTTATTGAATAACAATGACTCGAACAAAAACTTGGGACAAGTTTTCATAAAGAGCCATGATAGCATGTGATGCATTTAACAGAGTAAGCGAGAGGTGTGTAATGCTCATATATTACCTTATTAGTACACTGTTATGGGAGTCGAAAATCTAATGCCAGCCAGTGGTACCTTCAAGTGAGTAAATATCGCAGGAGTCACAAAAACTATACATATTTTTCAGAACTAATCTTATGTAACATGTACATTGCTTTTCATTCCAGTTTTTTGTGTAGTTTGTATAGTTTATTTTACATCGTATCAGCTTTTTTATCCACAATTTTAGCCCAGGAATGTTTTCTTTTCAGAACAATATCATGTTAGTGCCAAAAAGATCCACATTTCCGTCATGCCACACCAACATATCGTAGCGGCAATTGCAGCCCAAAATTTGGCAAGTGAAAATTTGACATGACCTATGCTTTTTTCTCAATTATTTAATTCATTTCTTGATATGGCCACAAAGTCAATGAAACAGTACAGCTCCGAAAAAAATGCCTCATCAGTGGATGTAAGCTGACTCAAGAGTTCCTTTTTGGGATTCCCTAGTAATGACAAACTATTACTAAATTCTTGACTTCACCTCCTGGCAAATTGGCTACAATGAGTGGTAGTGTACGTAGTATAAATTTGAAGCAACTTTGGCCAAGCGACGTAGTTGGACATGCAGAGAGCAAGGATGAAGAATTTTCTTTGAAGCATGCATGATATTTTTCAGTGCGCTTCAAGAAGTCACAGTGGCGACCTAACCTTGGCGGTCACACTGGGGAGCCATGCTTTCTTCATCGTGAGCAACTTTCAATGAGCAGTAACATTATTTTTTATCAGTTTTTGCTTAAACGGTTTAAAATATATTTTTTCTACCTTTTACAGATGCGTTCCCCCAGTACTACAAGAGCAAAACTTTGTTCAAAGGGGGATAGGCAATAAACACTTTATTTTTCAAATGTATTTAAATGTAGCTTCGGAAAGAGAGGTGTCCTTTTACATTTGCAAGCCACTCTGTATACACACTATCTGGAATGTTTCGTAGCAAGACAGCCATTTGAAATAGTTGGTATTAATTTATAGTAAATGCAAAAATAGTGTGCACTGCAAAGCAGCGACAAAAGAAGAGAAAAATGATAGAGGCACATTGTGTTGCCTATGCCTGTGTCACCTGTGCCCGTGTAGTCTTGTTCTCCTTTCGTCCCTGAAATGTAGTGTGCCCCATTTTTGCATTTAGAGTAGTACTGACAGAAAACTTTGAAGGTGAGATAACTTATGGGATATATTTGTGTGACATACATCATCTACGAAAAGTGAATGAATAATGTAGTATACAACATATTTAAAATCAATTTTAAAGAGCACATTGAGGCACCGCACATAAAACAGGCCTTTGGTTTTCATGTAAACAAACAAACAGCCACCTACGTCACGAGTTTGTGTTGGCTGCCGCAATTATTGCAAGCACTCTCCCCTAGCAAACCTCTTCCATAGAAAGAAGGGGCAGGCCAGCAAGGGAGTACAAAGGTTGATGCCTCAGCAGTGCATTTTTGGGGGTCAGACATATTTACACCGTCCTGCAGGTAGACCTGTGCACCAGTACTAAAATCGCTGCCGCCGGCGCGCCGGTGTTTCCACCTCCGGCGGCAAAGCGTGACCGGTGCGGGCCTCATTGCATTTGCGGCGTTGCGGCGCGGAGGGGAGGCAGTATACTTCAGAGTGAGGAGAAAAGAGCAAAGAGTCATTCGAGTTGAGTAACATTGAAAGAAATTTTCCAATACCATGGAAATATAGACTGTCTCCTTTAGCAAAGCTCTGTATTGCCAGATTTCACTTCGGTTATGCGCAGCGCACCGGCGTTGTTCCATGGCTCTGGAGTATGACGGTGGAAGCCACCTTCATTTTCCTGTGCTGCCCCTTGTCTTTTTTGACAGGAATTAAAAAAGGACTGGAAAAATCACCATCGCCAGGATGGAAGCCTCCGATATAAAGAAGCACCTCCCGACCTTTCCGAGGTAGAGAGAGAATGCACCGCCGCATCGGGAAGGGGCGGATTGGACCCACCAATGCCTGTGCCTCAGTTTCTAAAGATGTCAATATCGTCCTACCAACGTTACGAGCAGTTGTGAATATCTTTTGCCTTGACTAGCACGCACATAGTCGGTACAGAAAAATAAGGTGCAAGGAAAGAGCGTCGGCATGAGCGACATGTGACCGGGCGCTAAAGTGACGGGAAGTTGCTATAACTGAAAGAATTTTGTCTGAAGGACAAACAACAGCGCTTATAGCTGCCAGGTGACGAATGAACAATAGCGCAAGGTTTCGTGTGAAGTGCTGCACTCAGATGAGTGTAATGTTTGCATGTCCCCTCTCGTGTATTTATTTTACAGCGTGGCTCATGTCCAAGCACATCCAATTATTCTATGCCACAGTGACCACAAAGCAATGGTTACCGTGGTGACAAAGCAAATAAAATACGGTATGAAGGACAAAAGTATTAGAAAGAGTCTTGACCTTGGTAACATGATTATATATATATATATATATATATATATATATATATATATATATATATATATATATATATATATTAAAAGATGGCGTCCAGCACCCTCAAGACTCTTCTTCATTGTCTCGAGTATGTGCCCCACAACCTAAGCTTGACTAGTGATGATGAGTATGTACAGATGAAAAGATGGGACGCATAAACAATGCTCACACTTATTTTCCCCGCGCACTTGAGCGGCCGGCCCGGCCGAGACTTAGGCGGGAAATTTACGGCGAACAAAGGGTTTAAGACGTGAAACGTGGACTATCTCGGAGGCACGGTAACGACGGTCCGAGGAACCCTCGAAGGGAGTGAGAAGGTAATTGACAGGAGATGTCCGTTCAGAAATAACGTAAGGTCCGAGAAAGCGTGACTGAAACTTTTCACAGAATCCTGGAGTGCGAACAGGCGTCCAAAGTAATACTTCCTCTCCAGGACGGAAAGTGACGTCTCGGCGGAAGCTGTCATAGCGTTGCTTGCGGTCTTGTTGACTGGCCTCCGTGTTGAGTTGAGCACGTTGCCATGCCTCAGCGAGCCTGGAAACGAAATGTTCTGGCGTAGTCGTGGACGTTTTTATCGTTACATTAAAGAAAGAGGCGTCAATGGTGAATGTCGGCGCGCGACCATAGATGAGGAAGAAAGGTGAATACCCGGTGGTTCGTTGAACAGCGGTGTTGTGTGCAAATGTTACGAACGGCAAGATTTTGTCCCAGTTATCGTGGTTCGGTCCAATGTACATGGATATCATGTCGATTAGAGTCGGGTGGAATCGCTCTGTCAGGCCATTTGTCTACGGGTGGTAAGCGGATGTGGTCTTATGAACTGTGCCACAAAATTTTAGGATTTCATCGAGAATTGTGAACAGGAAGGCCTTGCCTCGGTCACTCAACAACGCACGAGGTGCACCATGACGCAACACAATGGCTTCTAAAAAGAAGGCGGCAACGTCTGATGCAGAGCTAGTGCATAGGGGAGCAGTCTCCGCCTATCGTGTGAGGTGGTCGACAGCTGTGACGATCCAGCGGTGGCCCGCTGGCGTTACGGGAAGTGGCCCGACGAGGTCTATTCCGACAACGACAAAAGGTGTATCGGGACATGGAATGGGTTGTAATAGGCCAGCAGGAGCTGAAGTTGGTCGTTTCCGGCGTTGACAAAGTAGGCAAGAAGGGACATAATTAGCCACAAATGTAGAAAGACCAGGCCAGAAGAAACAGCTCCTAACGCGGTTGTAGGTCTTTTGGAATCCTAAGTGTCCAGCTCATGGGTCGTCGTGCAATGCTTCGAGAACTTGCTTTCGCAGCGAACGGGGAAGTACTGGCACCCATCGATGCCCATCCGCATTGTAAGTATAGCGCTGCAGGACGTTGTTCTCTAGCTTGAACTGCCGTAGCTGACGATGTAGTCTGGCATTAGGTGGAGAAGACGAGCCATTTAAGTATCCGATGATGCGGTTACAGTAGGGGTCATCACGTTGGCACGCGGCAAACTGGGCGCTGCTGTTTACAGCAACTGCCAGGGGTGATAAGGTGGGTGAAGAGGAAGCCACTTGATCACCTGAGGGACATTGAGGATTCGTGGTTGGAGATGAAAGTGGCAGAGGGCAGCGAGAGAGAGCGTCAGCATTCTGATGATGTTTGCCAGACCTGTACACAACGTCAAAAGTGTACTCTTGCAAATGCAGCATCCAGCGACCGAGGCGCCCAGACAAATTCTTCAGCGAGGACAACCAGCATAGGGCATGGTGGTTGGTGATCACAGTGAGGTGGCTTCAATACAGATAAGGTCAAAATTTCTGGATGACCCAAACGACAGCGAGACATTCCTGCTCTGTTATCCAGTAGTTCTGCTCCGCAGTTGTTAGTGCGCGGCTGGCGTACGCAACTACTCGCTCACGTGATGTTTGATCGCGCTGGAGGAGGACAGCACCGATTCCGTGGCCACTAGCATCTGTGTGCAGGAAAGTGGGTGCACTATCATCGAAGTGACGGAGGACGGGGCCTGATGTCAGAGCGCGCTTAAGGGCTTGGAAACCACACTCGCACTCGTCAGTCCACGTGAAAGCCATTTCTGATGTCAGAAGCTTGTGTAACGGCCCCGCAATGGCAGCAAAGTGACGGATGAAGCGGCGAAAGTAAGACGCCAGGCCCACGAAACTTCGCAATTGTTTTTGATTGCCCGGACATGGAAAACTCGGAAAACTAATTACGGCAGCAACCTTGTCGGGGTCGGGTCGAACGCCATCTTTGCTGACAAGGTGACCCAATACTTTGATGCTTGTGCTGGCGAAGTGGCACTTCTTTGTATT